GTTTATTGAATCAAATTTTTGGTATAAATGTACATGGTAAAAGCTTTGATTCGTCGAAGAGGAAGATCAATTGAGGTAATAATGTCATTTAAAGAGAATTAAATTTAATTGTTTTTAGAGAATAAGGGCAGAGTATGTAATTATAATGATGGTGTGATAATTTAGAAATATTTAATATTATTTAAATGATATATCCAATGCAAATATATACCATTCGAAATAGTGAAGGAATTAAATCGTTGAGCTGAAATAAAGATCTAAAGCCAACAAAAATTCTCATAAAGAGTTTAGGTAAGATTATACATATGTTTTTTCTTGGGACATTTTGGCCATTTAAGGCAAACTCACACACACAACGCGTACGCAAAGACTCGAACTCTACACAAAGTTGGAAGCCTAAGCTCTCAACTAACATGCCAAGGTGAGCTGTGTAGATTATATATATGTTAATGGAAAATTTATTTAAATTTATTGAAAGTGTAGTTTTAAGATAACAATGCAAATTTATCTAATTTTTTGTGACCTTAAGTGTTGCATTAAAGAGACCATTTTGAAATTGAAGAAATTTGGAAAGAAATTCAGCACGAAAAGCAATGATGGGAATGATTATTTTTATTTTATATCAAGCAGTATAATTTTGATTTACATTTATGCTAAAAATTCATATGTAAATGAAAATTTTGACAAATAAACATTACTCCTATGCATGTTTAATTGTTATACTATAAATTGTAATTATCCATTGAGTTTATTATGAAAATATCAAATATTTAAATTGAAATGTCTGGTAAATCTCATGTAGATTAAATGGCTAAAAGAGGAGAGTTCATACATAGAAGGTGTTTAAATGAAAATAGGTAAGAATTGGTTTGTTAGATATTCAAATTGAAAAATATTTTGTGGCCCTTCAGTTATATTTTGGATATAAATCCATTGAGTATTTATTATTATTGAAAGAATTGTAATAACCATATGAATGTTTGTTCCCGTCTTATTAACTTGAGCTTTCGGGTCGAGTCGTGGCAGAAATCTTATTTTTTATTTTTGGGCTTTATTTTATAACCTTATTTCTATAAATAAAGATTTTGAGATTGTGTTTGAAAATGGCATTATGAGTTTATCAATGATATTTTATGTCGGAGCCAGACATCTTTCCTTATCAATTACACTACTCAGAGAATATCAATCTCCTATCACAAGATTTTGTTGCCCTTCATCATATACTTCTGTAAGCTATGATACAACCTAAGAGGAGGGTGAGTTGGTTTTTCTTTAGATTTTAGTTAAAAATTGAAAATCCCTTGTGAGTGGATGCATTGGTATTAATGAATGTGAACAATTAAAATTGCAGCTATAAAAACTAGTAAATAAATGCAAAACATTTAAACTTAAGATTTAAAAATTGGACAAAACAAACAAATGTATGTTGATCCAGTTCCAAGTGGTATACATCCACTCCAAAAAAAACTCCTTGAGAGTTTCATTAATCCACTTCTTCAAAGGACTGTAAGTTTAAAAAAGCTCATTACAATCTCTCGTTCATTAGGTTGGAAAACTTAATGTGTTCTCTTTAAGGTGAATAGCAAGCAACTCCTAGCACACTTCTCTAGGCTATCATGAATTAATGGAAGAGGATTCAAGGTTCTAATCTCAAATTTACATAGCTCACAAAAGCTTACAAATGAAAATTTCAAGTGAAATCTATAACTTTGAGAGGTGGAGAATCTCTCAAGTCTGAGTACTGCGTAAATGAGATTTGATTCAATTTAATACATTACCAACTTCTCTAATTGATATTTATAAATACCAGTTCGATAAAACAAAGCTTAAAATGCATCCTAACCACTGCAAATATCCAACCAATAATCTGTGCAACCAATGCAATACATAAATTTTAAGAAGAATGGATCTATGGATGATCTTATGTACAATATTTATTTTTTTTAGGGATTTGATGTTCATGTTGATGGCTAGTCCGATGACTCTCTTGGCTTATTTGTCCATCAACACATACTCTTCTTTTTTAACAAGTTGTGGCTTTAGCCTTTTCAGCTGTTGATGGTGCCTTCTCTGGAAGAGATTTCTCTATGCATATTCTAAAACCCTTAATGTCTTGTCATCTAACTTGTTGATTTTGATTTTTTTTGTTATCCATGTTTTGATCTGAAAGCTTTCTCAACTGAAACTTCATACATTAAGGGATTAGTACATGTAATCACTTTGTTGAAGATAGAGGAAGAGAGATAAACATGAATCAGAAGAAATCATGCCACCAATTCTTACCGCTCATCGGGAAACAAGCTTTCGAATGGTTTTATTATTTTGAGTTATTTTGGAGCCACTTGAGAACTTCTTGTTACTCCTCTTTCTTTCGTGAAATTATTAGGTGTGGATACCGAACGCCGTCCAGAGCCCAATGAAAGTGTGCAACGTCACCCCTACTATGTACCGCGACTCGGTATTGCTCGGTACTGGATGATGTGGCTGCACTTGATTGTCCTCTGGACGATAAGCTTTGTCCAGTGTCCGCACAGAATAATCTCTCATTTCTTCCTTTGTGCTCGAGCTTCTTTATAGAGGCAACTCTTGATTTCTTCCATAAAGCAACACTCACCCGAGCCTCATCTTCTCTCCTCCTGCTTCGCCTGAACTCTCTACATTTAATTCAAGTAATCGAAAAGGATTTATAGAAGGAGCTTTGCATGAAAATATAAAAGAAAAGAAAAAAAAAAAGAGAGAGAGCTCATATTACCTCTTGGTGGGCCTTTCCAATCAACTAACATCTCAATCACTACTTCTGGACATGAACCAGACTATTTTATTTGATCTTCCCCTATGATATCATTGTAAATACTTACATCTGCTTTCATATTACCTTTGCAGACCATTCTCATAGCTTTTGCCATTCAATATCTTCCACGAGCAAGCGTCAGAGTTCTTCTGCAACTAAATGGCAAGGAGAGAACTTGGCTTGTTCATTGTCTTGTTCAGGGGAATTCAGTTGAGTTTTCTTCTAGATGGAAGGAATTTGCTTAATATAACCAGTTGAATGTAGGTGATGTCTGTATTTTTGAGATGTTGGAAGCTCAGGAAGGTGTATTAATGGCGGTTCACATCAATAGGATTAAGTAGATAATGCCACCATTGTTGTGAGCTTGCTATATTTTGTTCTTGTGAGACTTGTAAATAGACTGTGAAGGAGTTAAAGGTGCTTTGAAAACTTTTTTGGCCCAAGGAAGGCTTCGTTTGGGATGACTTTCTTATTACTTCTTAAAGCAGTTTCCTACTACAAAATTTAAAAATTTATACTAAAAAGCTGCTTTAAAAAGCGGTAAGAAAGCCGTCCCAAATGAAACCTAAGAAGGCTGATTGAACCATCACTGATGATTTTAACATTTGGGTTTGTAATCCTATTAAGTTTACTTCTATTATTCTGCTTCATTTATTGAAAAGTTATATTGATAGAATGGTCCTATAAAATCTCAGCAATTTTTATTTGAAAAGTGCTTAAAATATTTAATAATTAACAAAAATCGATTTGTTATTTGTTTGGTTTTGAATGTGAAATAGTTTGCACTTTTAAAATTAAATTAAATTTTTTATTTTCAGAACAAAACAAATAAACTAAATAGACCTCTGATATCTAAAAAGTGCAATCTTTTTAAAATTACATTCCATATGTTTTGTCTAAAGACTTTATTTTTCTATTATAAATAATTCTGAATAGTTATTATTTTAAAAATTAATTAAAGTTCAGTTGTATATATAAGTTCTAAGAAAAAAAAATGCAACTCATTTATTTGGGACAACTTTCTTATTTTATTTTATTTTATTTCACTTCTATTCGTTCATTATAAACTTTTGGAACAACTTTCTTATTGTTTTAATTTTTTGACTGTAATTACAATTTATGTTTGATTACTATTTCTTTACTATTGTTAAGGAATTTTTATACTTGAAAGTTGCTTTTAAAAAAATATTTTCTCCACTGTAGTTTTACGGATTGCATGCTTTAAGATTTATTTTTACGTATGTGATATATGTAAGAG